AACCCTAAATCCCAACCCCTCCCTGACACCTTAAAGCCCTAACGCAAGGTCCTCCGCGCCGCACCAGGGGTCCAGGGCTCTGGGAGCTGTGCTCTCGGCAGTCGCCTCCGGGAGGTGCGGCGGGGCAGACCTTTTTGTTGATCCTTTGGGTTTAGGGTTGCTGGGCTTAGGGTTCGGGGTTAAGGGGTTCAGGTTTGGGTTATTTTTTGATCCTTTGGGTTTAGGGTTGCCGGGCTTATAGGTTTCGGGGTTTAGGGGTTCAGGTTTGGGGGGTTAGGGTTTGGGGTTAATTTAGGGGTAGGGAGTGTGGAGTGCAGGATGCTAAAAGGTAACAGCGAATAGAGCGACAAGTGACTGAAGTAGATTGTATCAGCATGGTTTAACATAAACGTAATGCTTTGTAGCGGGTTGCTGGGACACGCCATCAGGTACTTGAGAAACCAAAAAATTGTGGAAGATGCCTGCATTTATGAACTACATGCGCCCCAGTAGATTCCCATACTGTCCATGTGTTCGGGATAGGCCGGCATCGGCCCACTCGTATTCACCAAATCATGCTCCCTCGTTAGATCGTAATGCTGCAGTGTCCGCTTCGGTCTGCTGCTCGTTCTTTCTGATACACGGCGTCGGAGATATTGGTCCTCTGCCCTCGCGATCCACGAATTGCACTCGCTGATGCGATTACTTCGCGTGTGTTTTGTGCAAACTTCTTGATGTTTCGCAGCACGTTTGCAAAGACATGTGCGCGTGGATTGCAATGCTTATGGTGAAGTCTATACTGCAGGTAGGACATCAAACCACATTCATGTACCTTGTTGGCCCTAAGACCCGAAACCTGAAACGAGAATTTCAGTGAAGCTTTAAAGGAAAAGCTTGCAAAACGCTGAATTGTCATTCCCCCTCAACACCCTCAAACCGAAACCCTGAACTCCTGCACCCGAAGCTTTCTTCTAGGCCTTGAGCAACAACCTGGTGCCCTTGGTGCTGGCGGAAAGTTCTTCTGCATCATCGGCACTGGAAAGTTTCCTAGCATCAGGCTCGGGGTGCTTGGGGGCTATTTTGAGTGTTCGGCCGTTTGGGGTAGGAGGCTTCGGCCTTGATGCTGTATTGCTGTATTCTACTGCGAGAAAAGTCTCGGGTCAGCCGCTTCCATCAATTCGATCGTGTGTCGGCTACTAGCACAGGGTCGGGAAGCTCCAGGCACCCGGTAGAGACTTTCCGCGAAGGCTTGCAAACATCTTCCCACGCCGGTAAACCGCTCCTGTGAATGCTTGTTTCACATGCAGTCATGCCCAAGATAGCCGCACTACCAGTCACTACCCTGGCTCGGTTTCCCTACGCAGGCTTGTTTCTTATGCAGGCTTGTGACACTCTGGAGCATGTCATGTGACGTGTGGGCACAGAGACAGACTCAAGCTGCTTTGTTTTTGCCAGGTGCTGTCGACGATCCTGCCATGCAATGTGTCAGCCTGCGACTTTGCGCTCTGGAGCAGAAGCGGCAGCGTGAAGCTTGGCACATGAAACATATATACGCGTCTTTTTATCGAGGTAGGTAGCAGTCTATTCATGGGTCGTGCGTGGCCTTGCGCGTTGGTAGAGAACGAACGAGCACATGTCAATTAGGCCTGCTTTGCACAAAGGTTAGCACTTTGCAGCAGCCTTTTGCATAGCGCGGACAGATGGCGACAGCGCTAGTGAAACAAGGACTTCCATCGAGAAAGCAGAAGCACGGAAAACAGGAGACAGCTGAGGACTTCAAGCGATTCTTCCGGAATGCACTGAAGTCTGCGATCTTGTCAGGAAGCTTCTTCACGCTACCAGGACGCACTTTGTCCATAACACATCTTCGAAACACTACCAAAGCAAGCTGGAGAGCAATCTCAGTCAAGGACGTCGTCGACGATGAAGTTGACAAACATGATGTCAAAGAGTTGACGAACAAGAGATCAGTATCGTCATCTGCTCATCAGAATGATGGGCATGACAATTTTGGTGGCCATGGTGGATGTTGCTATGCTTGTGTCTGTGTGATGGTTCATGCTCGTAGTTCCATGTGTCTATGTGTTCAGCATTTGTTCTTATCATGTCCTGCCATAAGTTTTCAAACCATAGGTTCTCTTGCAATCGTGAGTGAATTTGTCGAGGCTCGTCTTCGAAGATGACGATGGGGCTGCTGGCATTGCCGAAGATGCATGGCTTCAGCGCGCAGCATCCATGCAGAACCTGGAGGCTCTCTTCAAGAAAGGTTTGGAGCGCTCAGAGGTTCTATACGGAAGTACTTCTGTGTGCATGTTGACATATGTATGGATGGATGCATAGATGCATGGTTGGTTTGCACTGGGTTGAGTTTGGTTTGCTTTGCTTTGGTTGGTTGGTTGGCTGGCCGGTTGGTTGGTTAGTTTTGTGTTTTTTGTTGGTTGGTTGTTTGTTTTTCGCCGGTTGGGTGGGTGGGTGGGTGGGTGGGTGGGTGGGTGGGTGGGTGGGCGAGCGGGGCGGGCGGGTCGGTTGGCTGGTTGGTTGGTTTGTTTGTGTGTTCGCATGTTGTTGCTTGTTATCTTCTCTTCTGTCATGTCAGTTCATGCCATGTCGTGTGACGCTGTAATGTATGTAAATATGTGTGTGGGTTTTTGTCAGGTTTGTGTTTCCCAGCAATATATGCGGATGTGTTTCTATATACGTACATATGTATGTATGTATGT